CAGATGAGGAAAGCAAGCCATGAAGAGGTTAAGAAATGGGACTCAAGGCTCCTAAGTGGTAGCAGTGTAATTTGAAGGCATTGTAGGGACTGGAGTCCTCGCCAGCAAGTGTAGGAGTGGGTTTTGTTTGCCTCCAGTGCTTTGCACCTAGAAGAGTCTTGCGGCCTCTCCGCGTTGGTACCACAGCTGTTGAGTCTTCAGCTCCCTGCTCCGTATCTCAGGCGGTAACTATGACCGTTCCGGGACTCTCTGAAAGCCTTGTTCCTGCCACTTCACAAGAACAGGAGGGACAGACACGGATATTAGAATGTCTCTGCTGTGCTTTTCATTAGGGGAAGTCATTGGCCAAGGCAGGGGAGAGTCTTCCTAGAAGCTTCCTTTATATTGAGCAGAATGAGAACTCTGAGAGGCCCCCACATGTAGTAAGTACCTTCACACCTGACTGTGGGCTCAACCTCCCTAGGCAGGTGCTACACTGGTTACACTAGAGTAAACACCTTGCCCAGTGTGTGCCCTGGCATTTAGTGGGTGAATGGGCCAGACAAAAATGATACCAATCCTTGGGCTTTTCTCTAGACCTAACAGATTAAGATTTGCTAAGTTAGGACAAGCAGATCCAATTTTAATTCTCCTCCATCTTTTTGTGGATGGAAAACAAATTAAAAGTTAAGGATGTGCATGGTAACATATGAGAAGCAAAAATGCTTTCCTATTTTCTCACGATTTTTACCACCAGAGGGGTTTCCTCTTCAGACTTCCAGAATGGAGGTCAATGAGTACAGAGGGACACATGGGCGTTCAGGACTTGTGTGTATTTTATATGTGGTTGAACATCTGAGTGACTGCTTGTGTTCTGTCCCTGCAGTCAGGCATGGGGACTCACCGCGTCTCTTCAGTCCTGAGGCCTCACAGTGCCACTGGAAGTAGATATACAAGCACATCATCTCTGACAGGGCCCAGTAAGGCATGCAGTGGGCTCAGTAGGGTCTTCATTGTGTTAGCTGTAGAGGTAGGTGGGGGTTAGAACTGTGGCTCCCCACTGAGAGCTGCTTTTGGTTATAGATGTAAACAGCCTGATCCAAGAGCAGTGTCCTTGCAGGGATACTTCCCTGTGCAGTTGGAAAGTATTCAAAGGTGATTTGGTTTATCGACTGTCCAAGCTCTGCAGCATGTCGTGTGATAAAACTTTTCCTGGTGAGACGCAACACCTACATCTAGTCTACTCACCCCAGATAGGGAGCCCATGACACACCGAAGTAGGAATACCACCAGTTTGTTTGGGTGAACCAATGAGTTTTATTGGGGTTACTTAGAGGAACATGGGGGAGAATTGCTTATGGGAGCAGTAATGACTCAAAGACAGCTGCATCACCAAAGCCTACCCCAGCGTGGGTGAGTGACAGCTCACAAAGCTGGGAACCTGGAGCACACTGGAGAGTGTCCTTTCCTGGTGCCTCAGTTGTTCTAGACCTCTTTCAGGTAGCTGGTCTGGTCTCAGAGTCTTCTTTGCAGCTTTCTGTGACAAGCAACAGTCCTTTTGATGGACCTCGTGGACCATTCTGTGGGTTCTAGTGTTGTCTGGTGGCATCTTTGGGATGTGACTAAGATAAAGAGAAGAGGGAAACCAATTTTTTCCTTTGTACTTCCTTGGACACTTTGGGGGAAGTATCTGTGTTTCTCCATTCCTTAAGTTTCTAACCTGTGAACTAGAAGCAACAGTGTGCCTGGGTTGAATGAGAGAGAGTATATGGAAATACATTGAAACCAGAAACTGCACAACAGAAGGTCCTTTAAATGACTGTTGAGTGATCTAGTCTAGTAATGATGGCACGTATGTGATCCTAGACATGTGGCCCCCAGGCCTGCATAGGAAGGTGGGCTGAAACACTTGACCATCATGAAGGTTATAGGAAGTTTTCAAATGTGGTTGTTGGAAGTTGAAGGTCATGGGACACCGGACTTTGCCAAATACTGCCACATGCATTACTCCTTCTACCAGAAAGTGATCGCGTCTTGGACTTTGGGAGAAGGAGAAAGCGCATATCAGTTATACCTCCCCAGGCAAGGGACTCTCATGAAGGCAGAGATACTTCTGGGGAGGACAGGAAAAAATGAGTGCTGAGCAAGTTAGTATTAAGTCATTTTCTAACCACTTTGATCACAACTTAGGTAAAATCACCTTATGTCTTAAAGTTTCTATTGCTGTGAAGAGACACTATGACATGGCAGCTCTTATAAAGGAAAACATTTAGTTGGGGCTGGCTTATAGTTTTAAATGTTTAGTCCATTATCATGATGGTGGGACATGGTGGCATGCGGGCAGACATGGTGCGGGAGAAGGAGCTGAGAGTTCTACATCTTGCTCCACAGGCAGCAGAAGCAACTGTGTCCCACACTGAGCATAGCTTGAGCAAAGGAGACCTCAAAGCCTCCTCCCCACTCCTGCAGTGCCGCACTTCCTCCAACAAGACCACATTTACTCCAAGAAAGCCACACCTCCTAATAGTGCCATTCCCTATGGGGGCCACTTTTTTTCAAACCATCACACCTTACTAGAGAGATAGTCAAGAAAATCCAGAGTCCTCCCTGAGTGGCCGGTGTGTGTGATGGAACTAGGAGACTTGCCTTTAATTACCCAGTGAGATGAGCTCATGGGAATGCGACAATTATTACTCAAGATAACTTCATAATTATTCAACTGAGTTTCAGCTCGTTAAAGTAACACGTAACGTGATGGTAACCTTATTCTGAAACTCTGTCTCTGCTATCAAACGTTCTTCTGATGTCAGAAATCTAGAGCACAGCTTCCTGAGTCACATCTTCACATTGAGTTATGAAGCCCTGTGACACCGGGGTGGCCTCTGAACCCTTCAGTGCGCTTTGATAACTAGGGCTCTGGGGGGCTATTATGGCCCAAGATCCATTTCTAGAATTGGTGCTCGATTCTTGCAGGGACTCCTCACCTTCCTTGAATCCACAGTTTCTTGTTTCTTTGAGCTATATGGTTTTTGTCTTTTCTTTGTGATCGCTTTTGATTGTCCTTGAAACTTTTGTGTCTGAGGTTTAATGTGGTAGTAACTGATGTGATGTAGTATTACCTGGTGACTTAGATGTCTGACCCATGGCTTAGGGTTCTTTTGAGTTGAGTCTATAGCAGCCATGGACCTAAATTTCTTTCTGGGTATGTATTATTATCTTATCTATTCTTAGTCTGAACCAAGTCTGGTAGATTTCATGTCCTTTTTTTGGTTACTATTGTGACTGAATCCAAAGACCCATTTATAGTTTTCTCTAGAAGTATATAAATAAGATCGTGCTATAGCACTGTTTCATAGTTATTAACCAGTGTTTCTCAACCTTCCTAATGCTGTCACCCTTTAATACCTCATGTTGTGACCCCACATAAAATTACTTTTATTGCTACTTTATAACTGTAATTTTGCTACCATTGTGAATTGTAATGTAAATATTTTTGGAGGTAGAGGTTTGCCAAAGGGGTTGAGAACTGCTGTTCTAAAGTATGGTTTTAAATTTTTATTACATTTAATGTGTGTGTGTGTGTGTGTGTGTGTGTGTGTGTGTGTGTGTGTGTGTGTGTTTTCGCGTGAGTGCGCCCACATCTGCCTGCCTGACTGACATGGTATACATTTGGTGATCGGAGGACAGCCTACAGGAGTTCAGTTCTGCCCTTCTGCTGCATGGGCCTTGGAGATTAAACTCAAGCCACTAGGCTTTATGGCAAGTACTTTTAACCACTGAGGCATCTTGCTGGCCTAAAGCATGATATTTTATACCAACTAGATTTTAGGGGGAAAACCTCTCTTCTCTGGCTTTAGTAAAACTTGTTGATGCTTATTCTTCTGTCTTTTACATGATGGGTTAATCTGTTCAATTTTAGCTTATGGGTGACTCATACATTGTAAGCATTCTGCTGTGGCATTGGGCAGTCTTTAGTACTTTATGGACTATCTTACAAAATGCCACCAAAGAAATATGTTGGAGCTGGTATTTATTGCCTTAATCTTGTTGTCTACATTGGGAAGTTGCTAACTAAATGTTTTCTACAGCTTTTCCTTAATTGCAGTGTGGTTAATTCCTCTCAACTGCAGGAAGCCAAGGTATTTATAGATTATTATTTTTGTGGTTGGTAGAAGTAATCAGCATTCACTGGGTGCCAAGAACATGCTTGGCATGACAGAGACCATAGAATCAGACCTAGTTCTTGCCTTGTGAACTTGATGTAAAATGAGCTAAGTGGGGAAGAAGGAGGGAGAGAATACATTTCACAAAATCCTCTCTTTTCCTAACAAGGAGAGGTAATGGACTTCAGTTCAAAAGGACACAGGAATTCTACTGCAGAGTATGAAACTCAGGTGACATGGTCATGAGGCCAGCATTTGTGGCAAATGACACAGAACTGAGGTGTGAGTCATGACAAACTCGGGTATGG